TAGCAAACACTACACTACTAATAACACTTGTGTGTGGAAGAGAGAAAAGAAATAAGAAAAGGGAAGGAAAGTACTTGGACCAGGAATGGACTCTAAGGGCCCCTGTGGAGTTCCCCATCTGAGCCATTCCTGTTGTTCCTCAATGATACTTCCTGTATGGGCGGCACAAACGCTTCTTTCACACACAAGCACTCCTCCTCTATGAGCTGAACTCTCCAAACACAAACACAGAAAGTATGTGTGGTGTATTGTATTCCAGTAAACAGGAAGCGTTTTGTGTACTGACATCATCCCAAAGGGAAAATATTCGAACAAAAACAAACAGCACAGCCTGGGTGGTATAATCCAAGCTAAGAATTAGGCCTACTCTAAAAACAAAAATGTCTTAAGGCTGGAATACATTAAATTACTTCTGTGCATATTTTTTGCCCGATTGTAAGTGTAGATACTGTATGTCTAGGGGTTTCCAAAGTGTGTGGCACGCGCATGTCAGGGGAGGCGCGGAGTAGGGCTGGGCGATAATAAAAGCCAGGAATCTAAACAAGTTTGGGTTTTTTTTGAGGTTGATAACTCAAAAAATGATCTTTCAGTAAGATTGTGTTTGGGCGCAGTACCAAACCATTAATTTCCAATTATTTTTTCAATATGCCAAAACCTTTACCAAGTTTCCTACCATTCCGATGATGTAAACACTCTAAAAACAAAACGTAAAATTCTTCTGTTAAAAATGGCCGAACAGCACCAGCTGTTATGTAGTGCATTCAAGCTTTTAGTCATCATCATTATTGTGAATTATTGTTACTGTCTAGTGCTTGATTATTGCTACTGTTGATTATCCATTCATTTCCATTTAAACATTTATCAAATTAAATGTTGCGCACATCCCTAGGAGTTGATTAGTGTAGAAATATCACAGTAAAGCATTCAAAACTTCTCTCCCTACTGCCTTTATAACTCATACCAAATATTGAGCATAGTCAGTTTGTAAAACACACACCCAGTCTTCAGAGAAGAGGAACACGTGTGCATGCGTGTATTATTGACAGCCCTTCACACAATGGCTCTATTGTTTGGCTCCGAGCCGCTAGTGGCCTAATATGATTTAGATGTAGGTGTGGACACAGACACTGTCATATTCTATGAAAATGATCTGTGTGATCAAATGAAATACAGTTGCACAAAGCTATCCATTTCATATCAATCACATCTTAAAGACGTGCTTGTATTCATGTCAAGAAATCAAATATGAGGTGATCTTGTGATACACATTATCAATATGGTTTCATAATTATGCACAAATACTGACATTTTTGACAAATCCTGATGAACTGATATGATAAATCACTGTTATCAACATACTGTTATAAAGATATGACTGCTGATAAAATTGCTGCTGACTGAGTATCCTTCACTTTATCTGGTGCAGCTAATCCATTAAAAAAAATTCTTCTGTAAAGAAAAACATACAGGCACAATTTATATTTGTCAGTAAAACTAACTTCAAGCATTGAAGCAGAGAGGTTTCGATCAAAATCTCAACAGGAAAAAATTCTCAGAAAAATGTACTTCTCCTAACATCATCTTTATCAGATTGATACTGATCATTTAAAATAAACACCCTAAATTTACACGCCAATATTCAATCCACTGTAAGGTTTAGGTTTAAAAACATTTTCATAATGCTGATACATTTCATAAAGAAAATCTGACAGCTTGGTTTCTAGCGTGCAGGAACATCAGGCATCAGCTTTAAACAATAGACAATACAATAGGAAAAACACAATTTAGCCCACATGGAAACACAATTTAGTTAAAAACTCTCTAACAATACAAGAGATGATGCAATCTCTTGGTGCAATAAACACTTCTCTTGTCAACCTGTACATGTAAGTGCCACCTAGAACAAAAAAAGAGCAGGTGATAAAGAAAGTAAAGAGAGAGGGAGGGAAAAGTCTGAAAGAAAACACCTGGTCTTGGTGGGCAGGTTCTGTACTTGCTGTGAACAAGAATCCAGTCTGACGACTAAACTAAACACTGAATTCTTCAGTTCACACACCTCTTATAAATCTTTCACACAAATATAGTTTGATCTCTATTGCACAACCCCAAAATGCTAAATTCTTACATCTGAGATTGATTATTTAATCCACAAGTTTAAAATTGCTGTCTGTGGAGGATGTGATAACGTCTTTGCCGCTAGAAACAGTTATAAATCGTTAACAGTGCACAACTGGTAATATTGGTATCTGCAAACAAAGGACAGCATACTAGCATTCCGTCTGCAATATTTTTAATTGTCTACTGTACTGATGGACGTCTAGCTGTAAACCCTAATGCTTAAATTAATTGGTTTGAGTAAGGTCAACTTAAATAAAAAAATTAGTTCAATCAAATACAATTTTATGAGTATTTAGAACTTTCTTTTTCATTTGAGTTCACAAAACTGACACATTTTAAGTAATCTGAATTGTTTCATCGTTATGAATTTCATGAACTTGTTTCATTTAATTTAGGCAAACTTAAATTTATCTGAAACTGGGATTTCTATACGCAGCATGCTTTGCCATGACACTTGAAAGGGAGAGTTAATGTTTTATTGTGTTAAGTGGGAGATTTAGTAGTGTTTAGTTTTTAGCTATGCTAAATTAGAAGAGTTTCTGGTAAAGAGGGGGGGGGGGGGGGGGGGGGGGGTGCTACCATCATGGTAACGAGTAAAGCATGAGCTTAGTTTGAGAACAGATAAATATTAAATGTTCTATATTGCCAGTCTCATTCAGATATTGCCATGTTAACGCTATCAAAGCACTGTGTTCACCAATTAGTAAGATTATGGTAGCTAGTTATGAGTAGATATGTTTCCACTACTAAAAATATTTAAATTGAGATTAGGTCTACATGATAATTTTAAGTTAAATGTATGAATTAGCTTATAGTTTAAGCTAATTATTTATATTATTTTTTTATATTAAAATATTTCAATTTAAGAGCAATTCAAATGTTTTAGTACAAAATAAAAAGCTGCCAGTTCTGCTAACTTAAACCTTGAATTTCTTAACTTAAAGGTTTTTATGTATCTGATTACCTAAATTTTTTTTTAACAAACTCAAAGTTTTGCCAACTTATTCGGGTTTACAGTGCATCATCTCTTGCAATTTTACTTTTAAGACCAAATGTCAAGTTAAATCTTATCAATTTCAAACGGTGACATAAGATCAAGATGGAACATGCTTTCTGTAAAGACAGACACAAGCCAGTAAGGAAAAAGTTAACTCATGACTTAGTCTTTAGTAAGTATGAACATCAAGAAGTTATGCATTTTTAACCCTGCATGCTTTAGGTTTTATTGTAATAATGAGGCTCAGTGACTGTAAGACATCCCGTCTGACATTAAGATGCCTTCACCTGATTAATCTGCGACATGTAGGTGCACGTTAGACTTGTTTTGCTTGAACAAAAAGGGTAAAGGAATGTTAGACTGGCTGAGGCCAACAACTTCAAGCGAATGTCTGAAATTACATGTGCAAAAGTGTGCACTGTGTTTTATAAACAGGCTTCATGCTGATTAAATGCATGACTCTTTTGAAGTAGACGACATGGATTAAAAGCTAATCCAGCCAAAAAAATAAGATATCATCTGAGAATCTGATTCAAAATCACTTTCTTTATCTGCCTGGCCTGTGTGGACTTAAACCAATAGATTCACAACAAGTATCTGAAAAAGGTTGCTTATCAATCACACAATGAAATAAATCATTATTCACACTGAAGAGAAAATAACGGAGGTAATTTGATTCAACTGCATCTACGAGGTACTTACATTGCAAATGTTTGGGAAAATGGTGGGCAAAGAAATATGGAATGAAACAGGAATGAAAAGAAACAATGATCTGAAATTATATAATGATATATTGAAAATCATTTAAACATTATAGCAGTATTTCTTACTGCCCATTATTTAATCTAGTATACCATATAAATCATCATATTGCAGTATTTGTTTAGTGTAATACAGTAAAACAAAAACAAAACGGGTGCATCATGGTAATGATGATTAGTTTTTTTTTTTTGCATTACAGTAAAGAGAATTGGAGGGTAAAATACCCATAATCATCATGCGAATCACATTGAAAACATTGCAAAAGTCCTAAAAACCCTTAATTTTGTTTATCCAAAATAGAAATTCTTATACTTTTCCTCTTGACTGTGACCTGGACATTTTTTCATATATAAAGGATATGTTGTATAAAGGATAAATATGCTTTCTCCACACATTACTGCTAAACATTGTATGCATCACCTGCAGACAGCTCCTTAGTGCACATCAGCTAAATAAACTGCCAGTAAAGTAAACGTGCTTCCTGCCCAAAAATACACAGCATATTCATTTCATCTGAACTGTTAACCACATGTTGATCAAGGCGATGCAAAAAACGTCATGTGCTGGAATGTTTAAAGATCCTTGCAGTGCATTCAGTCAGCAACCTGTTAACTCTTTGATTGTGTCATATGTAGCCTATACTTCACTATAAAAATCTAGATATAGTAAAATATTTAAAGGTCTAACTTTATAGACTTGATTTGGAGTTATATGAGCTTGGTTTATTCATAAAGTGCTTCTATGGCTATAACATTTCTACAGGGTGACAAATCTGTTTACTTCAAAACAAAACAAAAATCGAATTAAAAACTCAATAAAAAGTGTGTGTGAGTGTGTATATTCAACTAAATTCCCACGAAGCGTCTCAAAATGTACTGAGCTGCCTGCGTTCAAAACACACTTGTGATCGCCAAATATGCTGTCTATGTAGGGGGCTCACTACATTTTGAAACATAGCAGGCTTTAACTTTTACTTCACCACAGTGGAGATAGAAGACCCCGGATGAATTCAAACAAGTTGAACAGACACCGCAAATGTTTCTTTATAACTTACGGTATATTGTTTGTAATTGTTGTGTCTGTAAGTGTATGCTCGTGCACCAGTTGACGTGGAAACACTCACCTGACTCGCTTTATAAAACTGTTTCTTCAGTCCGGCAACAGACATCTTTGCGTCGGATCCTTGCGCTTTGACAAATGTAGATATTATTTAATTCACCCAATATTTAAAAATTAATCTGTAGGCGTATAGAGCTGTTAAAAAAACTTTCACGGAATCACAACTTCTTCTTCCTGCTCGGCCAGAGTTTGAACCTACAGTGAGTGCACGTCACAGTCAGGTCACACTGCGACGCGACGCAAATAGAACGCTCCCATACACGCGTCGCGTTACTCGCGTATAATAAGAGAGTTCTGATTTGTCAACTGATTGCCGACGTCAGGATTCCCATCGCTGGCATTGCACCGTTTCTAAAACATGTGACTTTCTTCTAAGTAAATTTTGTGATGTATTAATATTACGCGTTTACTGCACTGTCTGCACTTATGTATCTCTGGCAATAGAAAAAAAATATAAGCATACCTATCTCAGAGCCAGAAATAGAAACTCTCCAGTCCAGCTTCCGGGTTAAACTTTCGTCTGTGAAAAGTTTATCTTTGTTTACCACACTTAAAACATTATGGACCGGTGTTGTGGCACCGGTTTCACAGACCTTAATTCAAGTGGGACATTTAAGTAGCTTTTATGAACGTTCCTTAGAAGAAGAAAAAAACATTAGTGGTGTACATCTTTTGAGACAAAACAATGACAAGTTGCTTTCAGTTAAAACAGCTCAAACATCCATTATGGTCTGTGAAACTGCCCATAAGTGTGTAGGCCTACATGTCCTTACTAAAAACAGCAGTCAGCATGAATTCACAAAAATCCATAAATACATTTACACATATTAAAAAGAAACCTGAAACAAAATGTTTATATATAGGCCTACACTTTTTGCCATTGAGATGTCTTGGGAAAAGTGTCCCAATCAACCTGAATTCACCCTAAATATATCACTCTATATTTAATATCTCAACTATTTCATACATTATATATGTGTGTGTGTGTGTGTGTACAGTATATATATGCAATAGTTGAGATATTTATATATGTGTGTACTGTGTATATATATATGCACATACTGTATATATTTATATATATGTGCAATATGTGTGTGTATATATATATATATGAATGGATAATTCAGTGAAGTAGACAAATTACAAGGGACAACAATTATTTTTAAAGAATAAGATCCATCTTTAGTTTGTATTTGTTTTTTTCATTTAGTCATTTTCTGTGTCTTATAATTCAGACTGAAAGAACCTGTAATAGTACATCAGCAGAAAGAGGAAAGGTTTTTGACACTTTGTGATTGACATTCACAAAAAAAAAAATATATATATTTAAATATAGCTACAGGACACAGTGATCAAGAATACGGGTCTCCTATTCGGTGCAAAGTGTGTGTGTGTAGTCGGCAGAGGATACTGGTGAGACAGAGACCAGCTATCTCCCTGAGAATAAATCTTTTTTTGTGTGTGAAACACACAGAGCAGAAACATTTCTTCTACAAAAACAAAATAAACATTGAATTTGCTTTACAGGGTGACTGAATGAGACAAACACAATCTTGTCTTAGCAGGAAGGCATGCATCAAAGGCCTAGAGGTGGGGATTGTCAAAACAACACATTTAAAAATACATTACACAGAATTCCCATACTTCTCATTCTTAATCAAAGGGCAGGCTACAGTCCTTGACGTGAGAGGTTTGTAATGTTGGACGCACAAAAAGAAGACAGATTTCCTTCTGTTCATTAAAAACTGAGATACAAAACCATATCATTTCTCTTTAATGTACAGAATATCATTCATTCATCTGATTTAATGAAAACCAGTTGTGTAGTTTAGGCTATATAGCAGTACTTTAAACAACACCGTGAACCTTGAATCAAAGGAGTAGCTGAGAACTCTGTTGAAACTGTTTTTGTCGTACTGTGGTGCAGGAGTAGTAATAATAGGATGGAAGGACGCGATCCGGGCCACAGAAATGGACAAAAGGAGAGGTGATCAACAATTTACAAAATAATACAACAGAAACCACAGCCATGCTCACTGGCCACGAGCAAATGCGATGCATGTGGTGAATCTGTGCCCGAAACCTACAGGTATGAGTATTGATGGAATCTCCTTTTCTCTTGCTCTTTTCCTTTGGTTTGTGAAAGCATCTGAAGCCCACTAGACAGGAGGAAGGGTCTCACAACATCAGGATTTTCCCAGATCTGTACGTATCAACAGAACAATGTCAATGTCGGCATCCCATCCAGCTTGGCTCTCCTGTCCGGAGCAGCTCCAGAACAAAATGGGCAAAAGTCAGTTCAAACCCAGTTCAATTTCTCTGGTCCGGTACTTCCATGCACAGGCTGGAAGAATTCAAAAGCCTGCTGATGAAAGTCCTGGCTCATGCTTTTCTTTAACATTCACATCTTTCTTTACCTGCTCCACCTTTCTCTCTCTCTCTCTCTCTCATTCACTCTCTTGACTAAAAAGACTAATTTATTTACATTCCTATTCAAAATAATCTTTTTGAAATGTCCATATAAATGAAATGAACATTTAATTGTTTCTCATTCTAAAGTGGCATTTACAAGGGAAGGGGACATGGGACTGAGGTTTCTCATTGCTTAAAAATGACAAAAAAAATAATAAAAAAAAATAAGGTGCAGCACCAAACACTGTCAAAATGTGCCTGAGCAAATAAGCGCATGTGTGGATGGAATCACTGCTTCGAAAGTTGTGTTCGCCAATCCTTTAGAGTCATGCCCAAGTTTGCAAACTCCTTATCTATCACTATTGAGTGACAGTTCTGCATTTAATAATGTGTCCTGTTGCAGTCAGAAGTTGTTTGCTAGAGTCTAATACTGTACTGAATGTGTCAAGTTCAGCTGAATATGAGGTATGAGATTATGTAACTGTTCAAGTGAGGATTGTGTGGTTTTCTTTAATTTATTGTAACAAAACAAGGTGTTCACAAACGTTTGGTCATGACTGCACCTTTGTAGTGATTATCAGGTTGTTTTATTGCACATTGGAAAAGAGTTTAGCACACTTATGTTTTCTGGTTCGTTTTTAAGGTTCGTTTTAAAGGAATATTCCAGGTTAAATACAAGTTAAACTCAGATGCTAACAGATAAAGTTAAGCACTAGAAGGGCAAGTTGTAGACTTCCTCTATAAGTGCATTTCTGTCAATGCATGTGTTTGTATTCACAAACTGAGAGATGATTCAAAATGATTTTCAAAAGCTTTTGAAATTATTTTTCTAAATGTATTATTTTCATTAAATTCAATTATACATTTATTTATTATTATTATAAATTTGTATTTAACATGGAATGTTCATATAAAGTTGCACTGGTAATATTGGTCCCTTCATTTTAAATGAACAATCTGGGCACATTAGGGCTTTTTTTTTTTTTTTAAGTGGATTGTCAAAGTCTCATAAAGCGTAACGCAAGACCAAAAGTGCATTGTGTACATTCGGTCTCAAATCAAAATAAGTGCCTTCGCTTCGTGGGATACATTCATGATTCGTCTGAGGATGAAAAACGAGGGGGGAGAGGGAGGAAAAAAGCGATGTTAGTGCTTAAAGAGTGATTCGGTGGGGAAGGACGTGTGACCGTCGCCTAGTACGTAGGATGCACTTCTTTAAAAAACGTGTTGTGCTCTCCTGAATGTTCATGTGGAAGAGAGTTTGATCCTGTAAAATTCTTAAAATCATATTTATAAAACCTCCTTTGAAAAAATCATTTAAATCTCTTTGTGTGCAGATGCAGAAGGAATAGTAGCATTCTTAGACATCAACGTGTTGGGACAAAGGGCCCTTGCAAGCATACACCTGTACATTAAAGATCATTTAGGAGTGTTTCCATAAAATAATAACAGATGTGAGAGCACAATTCCAGGAATAATTCATATACAAGTATGGGTGTATGTGTTGTCGAATCTGAAATACTTTGTAGTGTATTGTGTATGTATGCTAACAGTGCTGCAATAGACTAAGGATTCTCCCTGGAGGTTTTTAAAACAAAATGACATTTTACAGGTAATGACCTCTCTTCAACACATGCCTATAATTTCCCCTTCACACTCTCTCTCATTCTCTCCCTCACTATCTCCCTCTCTCTAACTGTTGGTGGAGTCAGGGAAGTTGATCTCGCTGCCGAACACTTCCCTGTACAGAGGCGGGAAGCTGTAGGCTGTTTCCGGGTGAACCAGGCGGAAGAAATCCAGCTTGTCGATATGCAGGTTACAGATCGACTTCATCTGCGGTAGTTTGGACACCATCTGCGAACACAAGACAACGAGAGTGTCTAGCTCAGATATTCCAAAATAAAGAACTAAACCTACTGGATGATTTAAGTCTGACCTTTGGATTAGTGCCCAAACATGTTTTTTTTTTTTGCATGGATATTTAGCAGTAGATAATCAACCAGCCCATGGAACAGAAACTACACTACCATTCAAAAGTTTGGGGTTGGTAAGATTTTTAAAAATGTTTTTGAAAGAAGTCTCTTATGCTCAGGAAGGTTGCATTTATTCTATCAAGAATACAGTAAAAACAGCAATATTGTGAAATATTATAATATGAAATAATGTATTCCTAGTTCTCAGTCACACTATCCTTCAGAAATCATTCCAATATGCTGATTTGCTGCTCAAGAAATATTTATATAATTATCATCAATGTAATGATGATAATCTGATAATGATGATGATAATCTTGTCTGCTTAATTGTTTTTTTTTAAACCATGACAACATTTTTTTAACAATGTAAAAGTCTTTACTGTCACTTTTGAGCAATTTAATCCACCCTTACAGAACAGAATAATTAATCTTTAAAAAAATATATATATATTGAAAGTTTGCAATGAATGGACAAAATGTATATCATTTTATAAAAAAAAAATATATATAACTTTCATGTAAAAGCTGACATGGCATGTTTTTGTCAAATAATATATGGCTCAAAAAGAATTTTGCTCAACCCCTTTGATCCAAACATGATTGTTTTGGCTGCAAGAACTTATTATATTCAATTTAGTATATATCTATATATATATATATATAAACAACATTTAGTTCTGGTTTTCGAATCTAATTGGCCGAGAGCTTTTTCCAGCCATGCAATATTCTACTAATATCACACGGAAACCGTTTCACAATTTGTATCACTCTGCTTGTTTCTGCCGTATCTATACTGGCAGCATTTCTCACAGTGAGCGTCAATGGTGGAGGAGCAATTTTACAAATACTACTGTTATTGTGTCACAGAATTTAGTTTTAAGAGTTTTTAGGCGAGAATTAGATAAGTGTTTCTCAACTGGTGGGTCGTGACCCAAATGTGGGTTGCAAGACCATTCTGAGTGGGTCGCGGAGTGTGTATTCAAAGAAACAACAATAAAAAAAACATGATTCGAAATGTTTCTCTAATGCGAGGCTTTTATTTTGAAAAACGTGTGGGAAAGCTGTTTACTCTTCTGTTGGATGCAGTTTAAGTAAAGAGTGCATGTTTTCCTGATTCAGTATCTGCTGTCAGATGAGATGTTGTCAGGCTATATATGTCAGTGGCGTTATTCTAACATTATTTTTGTAACTTGATACGAAATAAAAATCTCACCTCAGAAAAAAGATCTTTCATTTCCTGTCAGCACGTGCTGTATACCACTTCACTATATATAAAGAGCAAAAGAAATTACGTGCATGCAACGTCATAGTTCCCATTCAGTCAGTCAAGTTCAACGTTACGCCAGACTGACGTCATGGGAACCTAACGTCTCCGTGCCCCTCTTCAGGGAACGGGTGTTACATTAGTAACCTAGACGTTACGTTGTCAATTAGTAAGTCAGGAAATTACCAAAAAGTACCAATAAATTACGTAACTGGTACGTCTGTTAGTTGGGAAGGATTTGCATGCAAGTATATGATGTTTATTCTATTCATCAGGAGCAGCTTCCATATGTTTCATTAACAGTGCATGTTAGTATTGTGTATTTACCATTCTAACTGTTATTTTGTTAATTTTTAAATGACTGGCGGCTCATACCAACTTACTAACTTTAAATGCTATATCAGATGCAGACAATACACTCGCTTTGTCGATATCTCTCTCATAAATTTTTTTTTGAATATGTGGCGGAAGAAAGTAGTTCCGCACAAAAGAGGGTTTTTAAAGATACTCCATCGTCTCCACTCCATTTATTTACACACTTGTGCCGTCAAACTGTTGTATAAAAGTAATATCACATTTGTCGTGCGATATGGCTCTATATCAGCAGCACGGCTCTGATTACCTACAGCCTCGTGCATGGCCTAATCACAGCCATGCTACTGATATAGAGCCATATCGCACTCATACTCGTGTGATATTGCTCATATATATATATACATACTTTAATTTGTGTGTTTTCTGGGTCAGAATGGGTGCAGAACTTCTTTTTAAAGAATCAGTCAAACAGATTCACAAAGTTGTGAATTCATTGGTTTAAACCGGTCTGATAAATCACTCACTGAACCACAGCTGATGTCAAACTTGACAGTGCAATGTATACATGGCATTACTCTCCTCGGATGATTCATAATATTAATGTTTTCTTAAATATCCTCAAAGTTCTCTGTAAAGTGCCGTGTGTGTCTTGTTCCTCACCTTGTCCAGTTTCTCAGTAGTGGCTCCGTTCATGTGCATGCTGTGCTGAAGGGCCACGTAAACCTTCTCTTGGAGCTTTTGAACCTGCTGAGACTCTGTCAACCATGGCCGATCTGAGCAGCACACAAACACAGACCAGGGGTTTCAAACTGTGAGAATGTGTCTCATTTCATGCAAGTATGCAAGTCTGACCATGGCACATGTTACTTTTTCTGAGAGCACATAAAACCAGCTTTAAAATCATTTTCTTCTGGGAATAAGTCGCAGAATTGGTAGCAGACATGGGTGTGAGTGTCTCACCTGGAGCCAGCAAGACCGCGGCGCTGAATAAAGCCATTTCCTCCTCGCTCAGCTGAAGACGACTCAGACTTTTAGCCAATTCAAAGACAGTGTTCACCAGGTCATCACACCCTACAAACATATACACATGCTAGTTACCATGCTGAAGATGGAGAAACAAATAACATTTCTATTAAGGTCCATAATTTTCCCAGAACCAATAATCAAGAAACTTTACTGCCGTACCATGAGAGCAGCAGGCGTAATGATATGACGCAGCGCCTGAAAATAGTTCCGTTGTGTTGACGGAAGGTGGCCTATTTTCAGGCGCTGCGTCATATCATTACGCCTGCTGCTCTCATGGTACGGCTGTAAAGTTTCTTGATTATTACGCAGGAATGAGAGAATAGTTCCTAGCCCTATCAGCCTAGAAAATCGCAACTTTACATTTTTCGTCGGTCTTAGTGCACGATGTAACTACAGAAGAGTCAAGTTTTAAATAGGAAAGATATCGAAACTCTTTGGTCATTTTTTTTTAGAAATGCTAATGGTCTTGTCCACTTCAATGATGTATGCTAAGCTATGCTAAAAGTGGTACCGCCAGAACCGGAGATCGGCTGAATGGATTCAAAAACGGTAAAACTCAACAGTTTAACTCTGGGGGAGTTGTAAAATGAGCCTATTTCCAAAAAAAGTGGAGTATCCCTTTAAGGTCGCAATAAAACGGAAGTAGAAATTTTCTTCCTTATTGTGACATACTTCAGAGTGTAATGGATTATCAAAAATAAGACCTATAACATGTATTTATAAAATAAATAGGGTGAATTTTCAATTCATGCTGACAATTTGAAAAAATCTAATAAAATAAAGAAATGGTATTAGCTACAAATCATTGTACTAACTTATTCTAAGAATAAAAGTCTTTATGTAATATGTTTTTCACTGAGTGCTTTCTGCAAAGCTTCCCATTTAACTTTGATGAGCTATTACTCACCCAAGCATCACTTGTATTTATTAACTGGGTTAAAAACCCATTAGCTCTTGTGCCTTATTGATTTATGACGCCTCCATTCTTGCTCTTAAGAGGCTGCTGGTGTTGTGTATTATAAAGTAAAAGACGATGCGTTTGAATTGAATTTGAGTACTTGCGTTCTGCTTACTGCATAGTATACACTGAATATTGTTTATATAGTTTGGCATTATGAAAAGATAAACATTTCAAACAGCAGTTTTCTGCTACATTGTAATCACATGACCTGCTTACATTTGTCACAATCTCAACACAATCTTATATGTATGTTTAATTCCGCAAGGGTATCCAGTTATTCTACTGAAAATTTTATTTTGCATTTGCAATCCAATTAGTGTAAAATCGTCTTGACAGTCTGATTAAATAATGAGTCAAGAAACATTTGTTAAAAACTGTTGCTGACATTGGCTGAACTTGGAAAAGCATACTACTATATAGAAAAAATAGTATGTAGTATCCTTACATGCTATTCTGAATTCAGTGATTGCATCTAGTTTATTCATCAAATAGGAAATGGACATTCAAATTGAGTGCATTAAATTCCAGGAAGCAGAACCCAGTTTGAATGTGTTGTATATTACACATTTTCTCATATATACTGTAGTGTAGCAGGTCAACCGTAAGTATTATATGCATACTCTTCAGAGTATACTGCTGAAATAGTGTGCTTAAGATGGTAGCATGCTATACTGAACATATCCAGACACTCACTGAGAGCTTTGAAGAGCTGAGGGCTGGCAAACTTGCCATCAAAAAACATTGTGTTGTTGGAAGAGTTGTAAGCACGGCACATTCGGATCAACAGGACTTCCAGGCATCCTGGAACAGTAATAGAGAGAAAGAAAGCGGGGGGAAAAAACGTGATGGGGAAAAAAGCAGAAAGAGAGAGAGAGAGAGAGAGAGAGAGAGAGAGAGAGAGAGAGAGAGAGAGAGAGAGAGAGAGAGAGAGAGAGAGAGAGAGAGAGAGAGAGAGAGAGAGAGAGAGAGAGAGAGAGAGAGAGAGAGAGAGAGAGAGAGAGACAGAGAGAGAGAGAGAGACAGAGAGAGAGAGACAGATAGACAGACAGACAAAGACAGAGACAAAAAGATAGACAGACAGAAAGAGAAAGATAGAGAGAAAACAGATAAAAGAGTGCAGGAGAGGGAGAAGGAAAAGCGGGAATATGCTCCACCGTGCAAAAATACACAGATTTTTTTTTAATCAAATGTTGGGAACAACAAACACCATCAAAACGAAATGTCATTGTGTTTATGAATGACATTTAGAAAGTTTGAGTTTTGTTTTGTTTAGTGAATTTTGTTTAGTTTTTTTCATACGGTAAGCACAAAGTGTAAAAGTGGATAGAATGTTGGAGAAATAAACACAAGAGGAGACAAACGTTAATGCAAGTTTCAATTTTAAGCAGAACGTGGACAGAACAGAATCCCCCACGTCGTTATTCTAAGAAAAGAAAAAAAGTGTTTTATTCTCTAACCACCCACAATCCAGTTTAACCAGCCACTAAATGCACTGAAATAGTTCTTCTTGTACTGTGTGTGTATATTTTTTATCGGCAGGAGAAAGTTACCAATTGACGGTATAATAATGGAGAATGGCATTTTATCCAGGCATATATCCAAACACAATGCAGTAATGCACAAATTGCAAATTTTTTAAGAGTCATATTAGGTGTTTGGATCATGCATATGGAAGCTTGTTTCCGCCACTGAATAAAAAAAAATAATAAAAATAATTGCGACTTTTTATCTCACAATTGCGAAATATGAAGTCAGAACTGTGAGAAATAAACTCGCAATTGCGAGATACAAAGTCGCAATTCTGAGAAATAAAGTCGCAATTGCGAGATATAAAGACGCAATTATGAGAAATAGTCGCAATTGTGAGAAAAAAAGACAGAATTGCGACTTTTTATCTCACAATTCTGACTTTTTTTCTCACAATTGCTAGTTTTCATCTCGCAATTCTGACTTTATAACACATAATTGCGAGTTTATGTCTCGAAATTCTGACATCTTTTCTCAGAATTGTGAGATATAAACTCGCAATTGCGAGTTATCGGTCCAATTCTAAGGGAAAAAAAGACTAACTTTTTTCCCCTCAGAATAGTTTATATCTCACAATTCTGACTTTACAACACGCAATTTCGACTTTATATCACGCAATTCTGACTTTATAACACGCAATTGCGACTTTATTTCACGCAATTCTGACTTTATAAACTGCAATTGGGACTTTATATCATGCAATTCTGACTTTATAACACGCAATTGCGACTTTATAACACGCAATTCTGACTTTATAACCTGCAATTGCGACTTCATATCAATAAATTCTGACTTTATATCTCGCAATTCTGACTTTATAACACGCAATTGCGACTTTATTTCACGCAAATCTGACTTTATAACCTGCAATTGCGACTTTATATCATGCAATTCTGACTTTATAACACGCAATTGCGACTTTATTTCACGCAATTCTGACTTTATAATCTGCAATTGCGACTTTATATCAATAAATTCTGACTTTATATCTCGCAATTCTGACTTTATAACACGCAATTGCGATTTTATATCACGCAATTCCGACTTTATATCTCGCAATTGTGAGAAAAAAGTCAGAATTGTGAGATAAAAAGTCGCAATTACCTTTCTTCTTATTTTTCATTCTGTGGCGGAAACAAGCTTCCATACATGCATTATCCACATCCAAGCACTCTGCTAGACTGAAAACTGTACTGTGAAAATTCAACTAATTTAACTTTGGCATTACCACATGTAAATACACGGCCTTAGAGTATTCTAGACGTAGTATGAAAGACAATGCTCAAGAAACTAAGAGTGTTCTGGAATGATCTAACGGTGTTATCATAACAATAGTAATAGTGTAGAAACTAATAATGAGATTGAACGGCCGCTTAGGGCCACATCAGAAATGCCACATCATGGCAGTAAATGGATAAGGTGATGCGGATGAGAAATGTGTTGTATAATCAGGGATTAGTAATCTGTAATCCGTGTGGGACCAAGGCAGCACTGACCTGCTTTGAGCAGGATGATCTGGTCATTCTGGCAGAGGTCCATGAATCCAGAGATGCGCTTGGCGAACTCCACAACGTACTGGATGGCATTTGTAATATGCAGGGCGCACTGCTGCCACATCCATTCTGCAGACTGAAAGTACAGAGATTGATAATACAGCCGTTAACAAAGAGACAAATCAGCAAGCACAATCAAAAGAGATCTAGTATGACGATGCTGTACCTTGAGCTGAAAGCTGCAGGTTTCTTCAGGTGTGTAGAGGTTCCAGGTGAGTTTCTTCAGCTCTTCTGGGCTGTACTGACACGTCTCCAGGTGAGACTTCACCACGTTTTGAGTGATCCGCTCTGAACATAATTGCACCACATTAGCACATTTTCCATTAGTATCTGTCTATCTAAATAAAAACAGACATAAGCAGGATCGGAAATAATATACATATCTAAATAAGGAATATATTATATAGATATATCCATCTATAGATGAAAATAAATAGATATTATAATTAAACATATATATATATATATATAAATACAGAGATTATATAATCTATAAAAATAACTTATGTAAATAAAATGTATATAAAATTTAAGCATATTTGTAGAACCAAACCATATATTATTATATTATTAATGCATTAACTAAGGTTAACAAATAAGACCTTAGTGTAAAGTGTTACCTATTTATTGATAGATATATAGATTATAAAATACATAATGTTATAAATAAATAGGCATAAACACTGATATATGATGTGCCATAAATTCATGCAAAAATAATAGATATCATGAGTTGTAAAGTAAAATTGTCAGTATATATATATATTTTTTTTTTTTTACTAAATCTAATGGTAACACTAGTTTAGGGTCCAAAGCAATAAAATTGCCTATTTGCATGCATTTTAGTAGGATTTTGGCTGTTTATTAGCACTTATAAAGCACATATTAAAGCCTTATTCTGTATGACCATATTCTACATCCCTTAATCCAATTCCAACCCAATACATAAACGTAGCAACTACCTTACTAATTATTAATAAACCGTAATTAGGAGTTTTTTAAGGCAAACGTCGTGGTTAATAATAAGTTATTAGTGAGAATTGGACCCTAAACTAAAGTGTGATTTATGCTCAGTTTATTGCAATAAAAAATGTAACTGTGTCCGAACAGGAGGATTTTCAGTAATGAGAATTTAAGGGAAAATTGTTATTAAAATAATGTCAGAATCTCAATCTAAATATATATTAGCATAACGATTAAAATTATGATCATGAAATGTGAATCTATAATGGCAGCTCACCTATGTCGTGTAGAGAGCAGTTGTCTGGTAAAGAGCTCAGGAGAGAGTGTGTAAATAGGCTTTTTTCAGGCAGGATGTACTCATGCTTCACTCTCACAGATTCGGCAAAATCTACAGAGCTGGGCCCCGGAGAGCTCTGATTGGATGAACTTCCACTTCCTGCGCTCCCAGACCCGCCGAGCATCTCCAGAGTGCAGTACTCGCCCGCCTCCTCTGGGGTGAGCGGCAGGTCGAATATCAAGCCGTCGGGCAGCGTGGCGATGTCGTCCAGGTCGCTGAGGTTGGAGCTGGATCCTCCACTGCTGTACGGTCGGCTGTGTGCGCTGTCTTCGCCCGTATCCTCACAGTCACGTGACGCCAGACCGCCACCTAAACCCGCCAGGCAGTCTTGAGACAGCTGCTGGTGCCGCTGCACCTCTGCATACAGGCTGTCCCGCTGTTTCTTTGACATTCGGCCAAACTTCACCGCTACAGAAAGCCAAAGTGAGAGACAGTTACTTTTACGTCACTTATTATTACTAATTATTTAAATAGCATTTATATGATTCATTTATATTTATATACAAAAGTTTGGGGTCAATTTTTTTTTTTTTTTTATTAAAACTTATTCAGCAAGGCATGGAAGCTTGTTTCCGCCACAGAATAAAACATTTTAAAAGATAATTGTGACTTTTACAGGTTACATCTTGCAATTCTGACTTTTCTTCTCAGAATTGAGTGATATAAACTCACAATTGCGTGTTATGAAGTCAGAATTGCCAGACATAAACTCGCAATTGAGAAAAATAAAGTCAGAATGACGAGATATATATTTGCAGTTTAGAGTTATAAAAAGTCAGAATTGCGAGTTTATGTTTCACCATTCTGACTTTATTTTTTTCAATTGCGAGGTTACATCGGGCAATTCTGACTTTATAACACGCAATTGCGTGTTACAAAAAAAGTTTATAACTTTATCACACAATTCTGAGATAAAAGACAAAATTGCGAGATGTAAACTCGCAATTGCGAGAAAAATTGTCAGAGTTGTGAGATAAAAAGTCTCAATTAGCTTTTTTTTCAAATTTATTCTGTGGCAGAAACTTCCGTAGCAAGGATCCATTAAAAGCGAACAAAGGGTAAAAAAAAGATTGTCGTAGTCACAAAAATAATAACATCTGCCCTTTGACCCTGCCCAGTATATTTGAGTCCCTATCCCTAAAATTCAGCTGGTGGGTTAGTTTGACATTAAGACTCGCGCTCACCATCACGGCTCATGCCAAGCGCCAGGCACTTCTGCAGCCGGCAGTGTTGGCAGCGGTTCCGATTGGTTCGGTCGATCAGGCAGTTCCTCTGCCGTGAACATGAGTACATGGCATTGTTCTGCTGGCTGCGTCGGAAAAAACCCTGCAAAAAAGAAACGTTGTTACCTCGGTGTACAGGACAGATAATATCAGGTGCGGCTTTGCATGGGTGTGACCTGGCATCGAATGACGAATATAATGGAGGGATAGAGCACAAAAGGGATAGAGCACAAAAGGATAATTTTGTTACTGTGAGTTTAATAACAGGAAATTGCACATCTACGGTAAGAAAAGAAGAAAATATGACTTAGTAATCATTAGGGAATTATAGTTTGAATTCTCACCTTGCACCCTTCACACGTAATAACGCCATAGTGAATCCCGGAGGATTTGTCGCCACAGATCTTGCACGGTATAACCTCAATTTGAGCTGGAATAAAAACAACATCATTTTAGGAAATAAAAGCAAAAACGTGTCCTGAACAAATAGAAAAGTACATATTATGCACAGATCCATTTTTTAAATACACCACAAATAATGTCAACCAATACAGTCAGATAGAGAGATCTCTCTCTCGCTGCACGGCATGAAGGACAGAGGATTGATTTTCCGAGTGAAGGGTGTATTATGTCTCAGCATATGATATCATCTCATATGATCAGTGGAACACAGTGTAGGGACTTTTAGAAACTAGGTGCCTCCTAATTAAAAGTAAACAGTATGTAAACAAAAATTAAATTATTGACAAAAACTAAAATAAAAAGTGAATTCATTAATAAATCAAAGAATAAACCAAATAAATAAATAAATGTGTGATAACAGTTACACAGTTATTATGCAATAAAATGTATTATATTCATGTACATTTTTAATAATAGCGGTTTAACCTAAAAATCGTATTATAGACGTATCATGAACATCACAACTACCCATATATATCCAATTAATTACATTAAATAAATAATTAACGAATGAAGGGCATAATGAATAAATGATTGAATGAATAAATAAATATGCTTTGTGGTATAGTTGCACAATAATTATGCAATAATTCTTTTTTTTTCTTTTTTCTAGCATATGTTGCATGTAGTGGTGGCATGGAAAAAACTAAGCTTGCAACGACATGCTCAGTACGGCTCAGTAGGAAAAAAAAACATCCTCCATTTTGTCTTTCTAGCTCTGTCAGCTGAAAGCAATGACCAAGATGCACTGTGGCATGCAATGGAAAAATCTGTAAGCCCTCGGGTGCCCCTCCCATACCGCTCTCTGTGTAGTGTTATATAACCTTCGTCTGCAAACATTCCACAAACACGCCATTCAGGGCTGCTCAGTCTAATAATGCAGATGCTCCGCCTCCCTGGCACTTCTGACAGCCTATTGGTTGATGCTCAGGCAGATGTGTCTGCGATTGGCCGGCTCTAAATGTCGCTCAATTCGGCTTGGCTGTAAGCCCATGTGGACTCGCTGTCCTACTGACATACTTTCTCAGTGAAAAGGGGAGGGGCGGCTGTGGGCGGATCCCCAGTGCATCTCATTTGAATAGGCCTTTCCCTTCTCTCTGTTAAGGTGGTCTCAACAGTTTTTGGTTAGATAATACTCTGTATAATAAATACAAGTGTATATGAATATTTACATTATCATTACTATTATTATTAAATTATTTAACATTTTATATAATAATAAATGTTTAAACTAAAATCTTGATATTAATGAAAAAATGTACATGAACACAAAGTCTATATTATATAATATGCTATATATACACAGTATATATGATGGATTTGATATTTTCTAGCTGAGTCTGAAAAGAACTGTTCATGTTCACTCATCATGAGACGTGTCTGACATGTGCGCTTCATCTCCAATTGTTTGTTTACCGGTACGTTAAAGTAAATACAAATTAACCCACTAGTACCGCTATTCTTTTACTTCACTTTCCCTGCATTTAAGCTTCATTCATCACAAAAAGTATTCTCGTCCTTTCATAACATTACGATTGAACCGCTGTAGTCACATGGACTATTTTAACGATGTCTTTACTGCCTTTTTGGGCCTTGAAAGTGGTGGTTACGTTGCTGCCTATGTGGGGTCAGAAACCTCTCGGATTTCATCAAAAAAATCTTCATTTGAGTTCCAAAGATGAACGAAGGTCTTACGGGTTTGGAACGACATGATGTTGAGTAATTAACGACATAAATTTCATTTTTGGGTGAACTATCCCTTTAAGCCATATAAGATGACATTAAGTAGTCCACATGGGATGTTTTCAGGTTTCAAAGCTTTGCTGTGTGCAAATATTAATTTAGGTTCTTGTTGAAAAAACCTGAAATGTCTATATTATTGCTATTGTCAAAATTACTTTTCTGTTTAAAGCAAATTCAGGTTTGCAAGAAGAACTGCAGCTCTTCAAGCCTTTGACACAGACACCAATGTGGAAGAGAACATTTCCCAGAACACATTTATGCTTAATTGTAAGATGTCCGGAAGAAATTATTTCTGCTGGCATGCCTGAGGGTAAATATAACACTTCAGACATTCTTTCAAGGCCTCCATACTTTTAATATGGTAGTGTAAATGTTTATCTGTATCTGTTGCTTTTCTCTCTTAGAGTCGCCCACAAGATTTCAACCTCAGGCACACACACTGAAACTCTTTAACTCTCTTCAACTGACCATAAAGAGACAGAGAGAGCAGTGCAAAATCCACCAGTAAGGGTGAGCACCAGCTTTAGCATAGATGCTGATAAGGCAAACCAGGTGTGTTTGTATGCATGTGTTTTTCTTCATGATTATCTTGTCAATGTAATAATACTTCCCTTCCATCATTTTACTAGTCTTAAGTTGTCACTTGTATTGTCGTCATGTTTACTCAGATAGTCCAAGATGCTCTAGTGGTGAGGAAGTGCTTCAGGAAAGAAGACTAAGATCAGTCTTCGTTTCCATAAGGTAAATGAGCTTCTGTGTATGTTTGCTGACAATGTTTATATGTGAATAAATGCCTAAACTAAATCTGTTCTTATAATCATATAAAGTGATTGTGTCTCTTCAGAAAATTTGGACTAAACTGCTCTATTCGTATTGAAAAGATTTACGATCTCTTTATGAACTTTTTGAAGTGACAAAGTGTTAGTTGCGTAGCCTGTCAATGGAGGGAGGGACTATACTGTAGTTGTAGCTGTGAATCCACTTTCCAGCTCTTTAAAAGGACGAGGACTTGCGCTAGAATTGATACGGTAAAACCGACGCCATCGTTACTGTTCGTATCACTGTGAATCAAGTGCCAAGGAAGCCTCCGAAGCTAAAATTCAGATTTGGTAATGGACGTTTCGTTTCCGACACGGACCAATCAGAGCAGAGCAGCCTCTCGGAAAGGAGGGTTTTAGAGAAACTGAATCTTCTGACAAACTGTTTTCAGACTCTTTGAAAAAATGAGGTGGTGTGCAATGTATATTTCGTTTTTTGACCTTTGATGGATGTAAATCTGTTGTAGGAGACCTCCTAAACAAAAGTAGGAACCTTTAAAATAGCATAATTTCTCAAGGGACCTGCATTTTGTTCCATTCTGATCCATCCTGCACTTCTTTTAGCAGTTTTCAAAAGCAAGAACAAGTCCTGTGTACCGAAGATTTGCAGGAGTATGACCCCAAAATCCCTAATATAGGCCTACTCATCTTTTCATATTAGCATCACTGAGGGATCATAATGCTTTATTATTCCACAGTCCCTTATATTCTAAATGTGTGTGATATCATAGACAAATACAAAAATTATAATAAAGATAGATGAAACATTTAATTATTTACATGCAGAGCAATCAAGGGAAATGGTTCAAATCTACTTTGAGCAGCAGCCTCTGTTATCTGTGTTTGCGGACAGGTGCCATAATGCAATCATCTTTGAGTACAGAACATTGTGTCAAGCAGTTAAGTCTATATTGTGGTGACATTACACAAGACGGCAGATTAGATTAAGCAGGAGTGCGTAACCGATTTTTACCGTAAGCGTTAAGGATAACGCAAGGGGAGCGACTGACCCAACAAATATCACAAGAACAACCTTGTCTTGTAATGGCGCTACATAAACATTGGAAAAAGTAAAAGGTACAGTTTTGAATTTAGCCAAAGGTGTAATTTGTTATTTTGACAAACGCATGTAATGAGGTGTAGCCATGTTTTTAATCACAATTTTTCCGCAATGGTGTCTCCCGTCATGGTTGGCATATGTAGAACAGAGTAAAGAACAATGATTTAACACCCCACCTATTTTACAAAAATTCTGAGTTTCACCCAAGCAGTGTGAAATCCAGACGGCTTCACGCAGACAGAACAGAAGTACACAGTAGTTTCTGATAAGACTGATGAGTGTGTGAAACGGTCAGTGTGTCAGTGAGTCACTTTTGGTGAGACTCCTGCCAAATGTTCCTGCTGTCTGGTCACCATAAAAATAAAGTTCATACATGCAAAGGTCACTTTAAAGACTGCACTTATGCCAAACCAAACAGTAGGAGAGGCAACTGGCAAATGGCCACGCTCTTAAAATTAAAACCCACTCCATGGCTCTCAATGGGAAAACAGCTTTAATTATGCATGCATTTGTTTGTGTGTGTTTTCTTTGATGTGAATCGATTATCATAATTTTAGTGAAAGACTTCAGAACAGAGGGGATTAGAGGTACGTTAAGACCGATGACACAAGACACACCACACAAAAACTTTCAGGATTTACATTAATAAAAATATTCCAGACAGAGTGCAGATCTGCTCTTTTTCAGTATATATATCATCCGCTACAGCTCTCCTGTCCTCCGCTACCCTGTGAACATGAGCCACGCTGTGTATATTTAAACACAGCCCCACCTCACGACAGTATGTCCGGACATGTACGCCTGCAACTGGCTTTAACATTTGTCCAGAGAGCAAACAAAATGGTTGAGACAAAATCCTCACTTTGTACTTACAGACAAAGGGCACTTTTTTGTTTTGGGGCACTAAAGTTTGGGGCACTAGTTAAATGAAATGATTTAATATTTACTCAACTCCAGGTAAAAGGTGAACCGTTCTTTTTAAGACGCCAAGCTAAAGAACAATCTTTGGTTACACTTTATTTAAGGTGTCCGTGTTACAGTGTAATTATACAAGTACTGAGTAATAAAAATTAACTACATGTACTAACTATAGGATTAGGATTTTTGACGGTTAGTTGCATGTAATTATGCATAATTTACTGTTATTAGTATGGAACATATATGTAACAAGGACACAGTCAAAATAAAATGTTACCCACTCTTTTTGTTCAGACTTTTCAAACAGACGTATTGGAAAGGAAATAACAAATTGCTCAATACTGTAATCTTGATTACCGCTCATGATTGTTGTCAATTGAGAAATGTATTTTTACATTTCATCAGAATTTTTTCACTTTTATCTATGAGCACAAATCAAGAGAATGTTGACTATTTACTCGTCTAATTTAGATGAGAGTAGTAACGTTAATTAATTTAATGATATTAAGCTGCAAACTTTTGTCATTGTAAATGATTGTAATAGTGCTTATAATTATTTAATATTATAATACATAAAATAGAGATATTTGGCCAGTTTTGGCACTCTCACTAACTATACATTTTGCATTACAAAACAATATATATATATAAATGTAAATATTTTCGGTAACACTTTATTATACATGCGTTACATGTAGTTACTCTAGTAATAACTAGGAATTATAGCAAAACAAAAAATTATAGTATACTAAACCAAACCCTATAGTAAGTACGTGTAGTTAATTATTATTAGGTACCCTACATAAATGTGCACTGATGTACACTGATGTTGATCGATAAGTAATAACAGCATTTCCCCCTCATTGCATGCATGTTACATACATTGGTGAGATTGCTCTAATAATTAATGGTTATTGTCTGTATCAAGAACGGAGTTCAAGTTCAAACTCAAGTTCATGATGGAGATGAAGGCGCGGTGGCCATAAATCACTTAACAGACCACATGGGTCTACACGACTCCAGCAAAGCCCCTCCCCTCTCTCGCGCTCTGTCTCTCCCTCATTCCCTCCTGTGAATGCTGTGTAATGTTCAGTGACATAACTAGGTCAGTGGAACAGCAGGTTTGAGCGCTGCTCACACAGCCGGCCATGCTGCCCTGCGAAAACAACAACACGCAACTGAACATTTACACACAACAGTATCACGAGAACTAAGTAAGGCGAGGATTTAACTGACATTACAAAAACAAAGCGTGTTCAGCAGAAATATTTTGTTAAGAGACTGTCACGATAGTGTGAGACATTTTATTCACCGAATGCAAGTTGTATCGATATTTTTTAGAGGATATTTAACTGCTTATCTTCATTCAGGAGAAAATAATAACAATAATTTTACACTCATTACGTAATAAAAACCTGTCACACAAGCAATCACGACCTGCCGCTGAAAGCTTCATCATTCTGCGTCAAAATTCAAAACTCATTTTTGACATCTGCGTATGATTCATTGTAACATTTGACACAGAATATGGAATGCCAACGAACATTTAAACGCGTTACAAAGTAACAAGTGCCCGCGTGGCAAATGTCACAGGGAAGCAGCACACAAATCTGTGCAGGAAAACATACCTGCATTATTATATGGTTAAATGTTTAGAGACCATTTAAAAGTAATATGCAATGTCAATGTAATAGTTATATGCCATGCAGTGCTACAAACACCTTACCTCTCATTTTGATCGCAGTTTCTTGATTCTCCAAAGTTCACTGACGAAGAAATATATTCGAACTAAGTAGCTAACTTGAGACAGCTACCCGAATTAAACTTTTCAACTCCGACTGTGAGCATTATTAGGAAAATAAAATTGAAGTAAATGCGCGTGTCTAAAGGTCTTCACTTTCAGCAACAAATTCAAGTCGCATTCGACGTGTGTTATGGCGCGGTATGAAACGTCGTCCTCCCTCTCCTCTCACTCTACCCTGCTAACCTACTTTCAGAAGCGTGGACTCTCACATGATCTCACCAGCGGCGCGCACTGCTCACGGGGACGCGCATCCAGTCAGCTCTTAAGGTAGGACTAGAATTCACGGAACATACTAATTAATTGCATTAATTTAAAGTAAAGAAGGTCCCAGAGAACAAATGGCATCTGGACTGTAATTTTTTATTTTTTTAATCCAGTTAAAGAGATAGTTAACCCAAAAAATGAGAATTCTGTCATTAATTAGCTACTCACCCTCATGGCGTTCTAAACCTGTACGACTTTCGTTCATTTTCAAAACACAAATTAAGATCTTTTTGATGAAATCTGAGAGTTCTCTTTCATCATCTCGTGTTCAAGATTCACCAAGGGCATCCGTACCTGACCTCTGCAGAAGCAGCCAATTGCACCAAGTCTGGCAAGACAGACAGAAGCGCGCAGCCAATGCCGGGTAAGGCCCCACCCCTTACCTGCGGGCATAAGAACCCTGCATGCGCTGCTGTTCTCCAGTTGACATTCGCTTCTCGCGATCTCTGCACTTACATAGTTCGGTTGGATTTACGCTGCTCACCTTACGTGTCTGCAGGAGGACAAATCGCCAGATCAGCCTCCGCCAGGCGTGACAGTTGTTTTCTACCAAGTTTAGCTCTGTTTGCTTTCTGAGCTGCCCACGCTCTCGCATCTTCTCACTTGTTTCCCTTTCCACGGCTGTCCGCCACAGATTTTTCTGAGTTTTTCGCCTCTAAACCTGCCGCTTCTCACGGGAATAGCTTATCACGGGCCTGCCCGGCCGTGTGTGGTGTGCTGATTGCCGCGTAGGACCTTCACCCGTTCTGCGTGGTCTGCTTGGGCCTCAAGTACGCGGAAGAGGCTTTGGAGAACCCGGAGAACTGCAGTCATTGCCTGATGCTGCCGAAAAAACTCCTGCAACGCCGCCTTAAAGTTGCCGCGACCCAGTGTGTTGAGCTCGGCTTTTCTGACTCGGATGGGGAACACGGTGACGATGACGCGCTACCAGGGGCCTCCCGGGGCGCGACATCTCTCATCTGGGCTGACCAGCCCAATCATGCGTTCCACAAAGAGGACATCTTCGCGAGCAACCTCCCGCTCGTCGACGAACCGGCCGGTTCTGGTGATGACAACGACGTGGGCCTTCTCGGTGTCTCAGAGGACGAGGAGGCCATAATGCCCTCTGCCGTTCCCCAGGCCAACGCCCCCGCGGCCTTGCCTCAGTCCATCCTCCTTGAAGTGTGTGAGCGAGCGGCCGCCCGCCTCAACATTGAGTGGCCGGCTCCACAGAGTGCCACCGACCAGGAAAGGGACATTTATGACGGGATAGTGCTGGGACCCCCTCCCGGTCCGAGGAAACAACTCTTCCCCGTCCTCCCAGCGTGTGCGAAGCACATGAGGCACAACTGGAGTGACCCGCTCGATCTCAAACACGCTCTTGCGGGTCTAGAGGTGGAGGATATGGCGGCTCTCGGCATGGGTGATCCCCCCACTATCGAGCCATCGATCGCCACGCACCTCAACCCAATCCAGGGTGGGCTGCTCTCCCGAAGCCGGTCTTGCCTAACAAGATGGACCATTTTTCTGCCTCTGTGCACCAGGCCGCTTATAGATCCTCGGCCTTGGCTGTCAGGGCCCTGAATGTCTCCTCCCTCCTCTCTGCTTACCAGACGGAGATTTTGGACGACTTATCAATAGCTCTGCAGAGTCTGCTTGATGCGTGAGAACAAACCTCTTTGGTTCAATGAAAGTCTGACGGGTTTGGAACGACATGAGAGTAATTAATGACATAATTTTCAGTTTTGGCCGAACCATCCCTTTAAAACTCTGAAAAATGATGGTACACTGTAAAAAGTGAAACATTGGATTAACCTAATAAAATTGAAGTAACCATTCACAATAAAGATTTTACATTGGCCTAATGTTCAGAAACCATTCAGTTCAAACTAATTTTCTGCATTTCATGCAAACTCTTTTCTGAATTTGTTGTAAATCAATATTTTAAATTGGCTTAAATGGAAAAAAGAAGGTTTTTAACAGACTTGATTTCATGCAAACTCTTTTCTGAATTTGGTGTAAATCATTATTTTAAATTGGCTTAAATAAAAAAAAGTGTTTTTAGCAGACTTGATCTAAATTGAGTTTTCTTCAATCTGAAATATTCATTCCAAATAATACAAAAGGCTTCACAATTGGCATAACATCAATGAGTCAGATCAAACGTTCTTTTAAATATTTATTAAGTCTTGAATGAAAATCACTGTTTTTAAGATTAGACTCTTTTTTGGCAAAACAAACTTACACTTGTAATTCTTAGACAGTTCAAGTAATCAGTTCATTTCAAATTGAATTTCATATATAGCAGTATTAAAATGTGAATATATCATAAGAACAATAATAAGAAAAAAGAACAAATACCTAAAAACAATTGGTCTGGTTCTCTCAGAAATTTTTGTCAGAAGAAATAAATGTAAATCAAATACAAAACATAGATATTGCCACATTCAGTAAACAACAAACAACTACTGAACTACTATTACGATGTAGTTGAGACTGGGGTAAAGGCGTTTCTCCCATCCTGTGTGTGTGTTCATCAAAGTACTGAAATGGAGGCTGTCAGTCATTCATTGACAATGCAGCAGAGTGCAGAGGCGACATAGTTAATTTCAGTTCTTTTGGAAATTTGAGGTTTAGCACATGCAGTCCAAATAAAACTGTTACAGCAGCTGCAGTTGAGGGCACGTTACTGAGGACCTCTGTGCTCTCAATGCTCTCACTGATGAAGATGGCCATTGGTTGCTCCGGCTATCACCTGGCATATCCTGGCGAGACAATACATAGTAATGAATAAAGAGTGCTAACCAAACAGTTGATGGAGTATCTCAGAAAATTAAAATATCACATATAACCAATAAAAACAAGGATTTGTAATACAGAATGTATGCCTTAAGAAAAGCATTTTCATGTTCAGTCAGTAATTGGTTGGAACACTATTTTTTCCACGTCAGTAATTGTTTGGAACACTATTTGTGGAACCACTATGAGTGGTTGGTAGCACTGTTGCCGTCTTTTATTTTTTGGGTACAGATCTCGTAGCCTAGGCTGCCTACAGACGCGTTTTTTTTTTTTTTTTTTGACGGCCTGCTTATGGGGCGTGCAGTTAGCGGATCATGAGGATGAATGATCATTTATGTTTGTGCCTGCAATCGCTGATACAACCTTTAAAACAACCTGGGCATTCAGCTGTGCCACATGCAGATTGCCTCCATACTGATGCAGCAATTCAAGCAAAAGGAGGCCAAAATACCAGGTATTTAGTGCATATACGTGAACATAGCTATAAGCTGCAATCAACAGAAGTAGCACAAATAATTGCGTGAAATATATATATATATAATGCATGAGTTACACTTTTTTGTAACTTTTTTTTCTCAAATTACTGAACTTAGACTACATTCTAATTTTTTGTATGTACTGTATGTACAGTATGGAAGTATGTGCGTGGATTGCTGAGCGATGTACGTACCTGAATTTTCTTGATGAGATGGTGAACAGATTCACCAAAGCAGATGAATAAACATTTAAGAACTGATTCCCTCCTTGTGTTGTCCACGACCTGAACAAAATGCATTCATTAAAATAACATGCTCCTTTTTTATCACATACAGTAGAAATACGGTTTGAAAAAGACAAAGTATAATGAAACATGATAAAAAATTTGACCATTCATCATGGAGCATTTTTTTTTATAATGCCATGCCTGCCTGACACATTTAGAACACATTTAGCCTAAAGGTGCAAAAAGCTCACAATGTTAGTGTTAGGGGCATCATGCTCAGTATAAATCACTGTTTTATAAACCATAAACAAGGTTCAAAGTAGCCCCACACTTCGTTGGTAGTATAATTAAGGTTCTAACATTTGAAACAAGGCATTGATAACTTTGTAAGTGTACATATAGTTTATTAAAAAGACTGTTTTTATTGAAACACAGTAAAGTTACCTTGACTTCTCCAATAATCATTTGCTCCTGCCCTGCAATCTGTATTGAACGCAAAAACAACTTACCCGTGTCAGTGAAGACTTGACAGACAACCAAAACTGCCCAAAACTAGGAACCATGCCAACCAAGCAGCAGCTTTCCTAAAATTCAAATCCAAACAGTCATTAATCCGTTTTAGTTTTGCAGTTTCAAAGTGTAAATTTATTTTCCTCACATTAATTTCCGCCTTCGCAAATTTAATACATAAAACATAACGTTATAAAATCTGCGTTCATATTGAAAGCCGGGGGAGAGGCAGTTAGCCTGACTTTAAACTCTGGGCGGGAAACGTTAACGTTAAGTTGTTAGCTAGCTAACTTAAACGTCACTCCCATATTGAGGTGATTCATTTAACGTTAGCAGCTAATTGTCGTTACTCAAAACTCAGTCATGAATACATCGTTTTTTTAACAACATTCATCATTTTTTCCTTTCATAATATCCATTCAATCGGTCTAACGGTATATAATCTTAAGTTCTTGGATTTCCCTGGAAAATCGTTAGCACCTAGCTGTAAAATGGCGCGTTAACGCTACTTACCACTATAATGTCAAAATGAATGTTATAATAACTTCTAATCTGCGTGTCTGTTCATTAAAATGATATGACGTTAATACTTTTCAAGTATTTAAATGCTGAATGGTACCCCCTTACCTGACAAACGTGTCCTGTTCGCTTCGCGTTGTTCAACAGATGACTCTCCGACTTCTGCGCTCGGTCTCTTCTAGAACCTTCTCTCGAGTTTTCACGTGTGCGCATGCGCAAACCATGCTTTATCTAATAAAAGTCGTTTGATCGAATGTATAATTTAAAATTCATTGTAATGTTATAATTTTATATTGTACCAATCTAAGAAAATAGACTGAAAGACACATACAAATCACAAAATGTAATTTTACTTAACAATCTAATAATTTTAGGCTATTGGAATGAAAAAAAAAAAATCAAACGAAAAACACCAATGTTT